TGCAAAAACTCATGTCAAAAGCAATATGTGAGCACTTATCTCTGCATGCCACTCTTATCACTTGCAGGTCTGGAATGTACCACCACAAACTCGAATAGGACCCTTTCCATAATGCCACTCAAAAACACAATGCGTGTAGATCGCATCTGTGTGAACCACCTCAATAGGAACACAAAATATCTAGTATGTTATGCGAATCTGAGTTTCAAAACTAATCCAGAATCACATATGTGTGAACCAGGGAGGTTCCATTCACATCTGAGCAGTTTGGATCACAGCAGAATCACAAAACACAGGTTCAGGTAGCATTTTCAGTGGTGTCTAAAACGTGGTGCAGTTTTGCTGTGACTGTCATGTGGCAAATCACATCGCATGAAGCTCCGGACGTGAACAACCCATGCTACGCTACAAAGAAGAAAAAAAGAAAAAAACTGGCTCCTAACTTTTTTTGCTGGCTCCTAGGCTCAAAGCCAATTTGTCCAGCCCTGATTTACTCAATGCTACCTTATCTTTTAGATTTTACCAAAAACTTGAGTATTATATTGGGTTTGTGCGCACAAAAATTTTAGTGCATTTTTGTCCCAAAAATTTGCATTTGATAAACAGCTGCACAAATATGGTGTGGCATACAAAATTGCAACAGCCACAATTTTTATTCTCCATGGCCTCTGCTTTCAGAAAATATGTAATGTTTGGGCGTCCCAAGTACTTCTCTAGCAAAGAAACGCTGAATTTAGGGTGTTAAAAATGTGAAAACTTCCCCAGGCAGCAAATGCTTAACCACTTCACTTCCGGACACTTTTACCCCCTTCCTGCCCAGGCCAATTGTCAGCTTTCAGTGCTATCACACTTTGTGTGACAATTGCGTGGTCATGCAACACTGTACCCATATGAATTTTTTAGAGACAGATAAATCTTTATTTTGGTGGTATTTAATATTTTTCACCTGATCACCCCCAAGGGAGCATTTCATATTCCCGATATGTGCCTGCTGTACTATGTACTTTTATGAAAACATCCTGTTCTCTTTGTATTGATGCCTTTGTGTGAAATTCCTGGTGTTCCCGCCAGTCCCCTCTGCTTTCCTATTAAAAACGGACCACACCAGGCATGAGAACACAGCATGGTCAGTTCTCTATCTGTGCTGTGAACTCAATGATCAGACTTCTGCTTACAAGCTCCCCCCCCGGCCCCGTACTTTCTACCTTTATATTGTAAAGCGCTGTGCAAACTGGTGGCACTATATAAATCCTGAATAATAATAATAAAAGAAGTGTATTCTGATGGTGGGGAACGATTCCCAGCTGTCAGAATACAAAGGCTTAGTGGGGATGATTCCCCCCTCCATACATTCAAGGTGCTTGAGCCCTTTTATTTTCCCCATTCAACAGGCTGGTTGTAAAAAGGCTATATAAGGATCTGAAAAAAAAAAAAAAAAAAAAAAAAAGAAGGTTTTAATCCACAGCTCATTATTAGCAGTGCCGGTCACATTCTCACTACATGAGCAGTACTACCACATGCAAAAGCACATCTGAACTTGAATTCCTGTGTAATTATACTCCGCTATCTGTGGCTGTTTCAGAAGAAGAGTTACTATCAGTACAAATATTACCAAGTATAGCTTCACGTGCGTCTGTGCGATCCACTCGCCGACAAAGGCGGGCCAGAACCACAACCGAGATGGGAGCCAAGAAAGAGATCAGCTAGAAACACAAAGGAAAACGTGATAAATGATACAGCCGTGGTGCATCTGTACACAATTCTGACAACTGGAATGTAAGGTCTGTCTGCAGCCTCCCCATGTTTCATAATGTGAATACCCAGCAGGATTCGTATTATAAAAGGCAGAGACACAGACAAGCTAGAAGTTTCCCTCCATCATCATACTATTTAACCCGTTCCTGCCGGCGCCTCCTGGCCCTTTAAGAGTTTCAGAAGTCGGGAGGCAGGACGGGCGGGGTTTAGGGATCATGTGACCGCCGTGACGCATCATCACGACGGTCACATGATCGGGAAAGGTCCCGATCGAAAGCACAGACCGGGACCTTTCCGTGAGTACCGGACATGTGTGCTGGGAGCGTGCAGGGTGCGTGCTCTCAGCACATATGTTTTTGGTTAATTGCACACAAATGTGCGGCCGCTCTGCGTCTAGGCCCAGACGCCGGGAGTTCGCACATTTGTGTGCGGCCAGCGTGAAGAGGTTAAAGATGAAATCCAGTCAGATTAGAAAGACACAAATGTATGCAGTTCTGCATTGAAGGACACTTGAAATGTATTTTATGATGTAGTGCACCTGAATTTGACTTGAGATCAGCTTCTTTAAGTCCTAATTGAGCAGGGCTTAGAATGGGAGAGGAAGAAGCAGCACAAGAGCCAATCAGTACATCTGCCTAAAAAGGAGCATGCTGATAGGAGGAGAAAGCAGAGTGGAAGAGAAATTAACTCATCACTTTTACAGGCTGGGGGGGCAATGAACGTGACAGCCTGAGTTCAGAGGTAGTGGGTTATATGATGTTGCAGCTCCTGATTGAAGTGGTATTTTCTCAATCTTCTAAATGTGCTCTTAAACTTTTTTTTATTGGATTTCTGCTTGAAAAACACTACCACTTACAGTGGCTTGAAAAAATATTCATACCCCTTGAAAATTTTCCACATTGTCATGTTACAACCAAAAACGTAATTTTATTTTACTGGGATTTTATGTGAGACCAGTGGTCTCCAAACTGCGGCCCAGGGGTCAGATATGGCCCTTTGCTTGCTTTTATCTGGTCCTTGGGGCACTATTTCATCTACAACCAACAATTGGGTGTAATTCCCCCACTTACCAATGAAGGGGGCACAATTCCTCCCAATAACACAAATGATAAAGTCCAATGACATCAATGATGGGGCACAATTCCTCCCACTTACACCAGACCATGGGGCATTATTTTTTTCCACTGACGTCGGGACCTTTTCTACTCCCACTGTCCGCAGTCCAGCCCTCAAAGTCTGAAGGACAGTAAACTGGGCCTTTGTTTAGAAAGTTTGGAGACCACTGTGACCAACCAACACAAAAATGGCACATAATTGTGAAGTGGGAAAAAAACAAATGCTTTTCAAACGTTTTTTACAAAAAAATATGTGAAAAGTGTGGCATGAATTTGTATTCAGCAGCCCGGAGTCAATACTTTGGAGAACCACCTTTTGCTGCAATTACAGCTGCAAGTCTTGCCACAGATTTTCAATTGGATTTAGGTCTGGACTGTGACTAGCCCATTCTAACACATGAATATGCTTTGATCTAAACCATTCCATTGTAGCTCTGGCTGGATGTTTTGGGTCGTTGTCCTGCTGGAAGTTGAATCTCCTCCCCAGTCTCAGGTCTTTTGCAGACTCTTCTACGATTGCCCTGTATTTGGCTCCACCCATCTTCCCATCAACTCTGACCAGCTTCCCTGTCCCTGCTGAAGAAATCCCCACAACATTTTGCTGCCACCACCATGTCTCACGGTGGGGATGGTGTGTTCAGGGTGATGTGCAGTGTTAGTTTTCCACTACACACAGCATTTTGCTTTTATACCAAAAATGTCATTTTTGGTCTCATCTGACCAGAGCACCTTCTTCCACATGTTTGCTGTGTCCCCCACATGTCTTGTCACAAACTGCAAATGGGACTTCTTATGGCTTTCTTGCCACTCTTCCATAAAGGCCAGATTTGTGGAATACACGATCAATAATTGTCCTGTGGACAAATTCTCCCACCTGAACTGTGGATCTCTGCAGAATCTCCAGAGTCACCTCTGTTCTCCTTGCCCAGCCTGTCAGTTTAGATGGACGGGCAGGTCTTGGTAGGTTTGCAGTTGTGCCATACTATTTCAATTTTCAGATGATAGATTGAACAGTGCTCCATGAAATGTTCAAAGCTTGGGATATTTTCTCTCTTATACCCTAACCCTGCTTTAAGCTTCCCCACAACTTTATCCCTGACCTGTGTTCCTTGGCCTTCCATGATGCTGTTTGTTCACTAATGTTCTCTAACAAACCTCTGAGGGCTTCACAGAACAGCTGAGAATAAATTACACACAGGTGGACTCCATTTACTAATAAGGTGACTTCTGAAGGCAATTGGTTCCACTAGATTTTATTTAGTGATATCAGAGTAAAGGGGGCTGAATACAAAATGTACGCGACACTTTTCAGATATTTGGAAAAACTTTTGAAAACCATTTATCATTTTCCTTCCACTGCATAGTTATGTGCCACTTGTGTTGGTCTATCACATAAAATTATAACAAAATTGGTGCTGCGCTCCCACACTTGTACTTCTATAAATAATTAATTCAAAATGAGGTTTCAATTACACCCCTAGTGAATCCTCCTGTGTATAATTATCACAAACTCAATTCATCATATTATTATACAATCTTATCCAGTGATGTTTGATAAACCATAAGAAATAAAATACAAATGTGCAAAAGACACAAAAACCCAATACATAAACCCACTTGTGTCCCTAAACAGGGTGAAATCACAAACCTGTACTAAACCATTCGCGATAAAACACTTGGCATAAATGAATTCCCCAAGGTGCAATAAAGTAAATAAGTGGAAATAACTGACAAATGGCACTATTGTGCTTATAGAAACAAACAATAGGACGGTCAGGATAAATTAACCCTGACTATAAGACAATCTACAAGGACTATAATAAATCCTTCAACATAAATGTGCGACCACCACTCAACAAGTGACCACATGTACCAAAGTGTAAATTGCCGTGCTCTAGTCCCCAAACTTGGGAAGATACTACTATATAAATAGCAAAAAAATAAATCAAATATTAAGTGAATCCACAAATGAAAATCCAGTGACACTATGATAAACACACAACTTAAATCAATTAAAAAGTATGCTATTTATACTGTCCTCATATTAATGAGGTTAATTTTAATCTCATTATTAATGAAATTAATATGAGGACAGTATAAATAGCACGGTTTGTCACCACGCCCGTTGTTCCTGATGAAGTCATGTGATTAGTGATGCAACTAGTCAGACGAGAGACGGAGACATGGTGACATCACTTCCGGCGCAAGCGCCATCTTGAAGCACCCATAGGAGTACACCCAGGAGTTCCTATGAGGATCTGTGAGCATTTTTTTCCCATAAACGCATGTGAATGAGCATTTATAGTATTCTTTTACATCAATAAATGAATCTATATCACACGATGGAAGGATTCTTCTTCTTGTTTTATAAACACCGATGAGGAAGCTCCAATTTTGTAATAATTTTATGTGATAGACCAACACAAAGTGGCACATAATTGTGAAGTGGAAGGAAAATGATAAATGGTTTTCAAAAGTTTTTACAAATAAATATCTGAAAAGTGTGGCGTATTTTGTTATACTTTTGATCCCATTCTATCCAGGTGTATAGCCAGGTGCCAGCAGCAACCTATTCCTAGAACAATAGTTTATTCAGGGTAGCACAGGTGGTTCTCCATTGTTTTTTCTATCACATAAAATCCCATGAAAATAAAATTTTCATTTTTCATTGTAACATGACAAAATATGGAAAATTTCAATGGGCATGAATACTTGTTCAAGGCACTGTACCTGTCACTGACAGGGCACCTTCCCAACACTAAAGGCTGCCATCTTCCAAGTCTTGGGAGCATTGCTAGTTCATGCATGCAGGCCAGCTCATTACACACAGTATGTGGGCATCTCTGTCCTGATTTTCAGAACTATGCAATGGTTGGACTTATTTCTCCTTCTTACAATGCAAGTCTATGAGTCAGGTGACTCACCAAAAACAATGCATAAACTGTGTGCACGATACCTTAATAGTTGATATGAAGGGATGTCAAGTGAAATACAATGCTCCCTTTTGTCTTTTACACCTTTTTCCTGGTGCCTACCCTGCAGCAAAACTATGATAAGGGCAGAGCTCTATCATAGGAATGCAGACATGAATAGACACCAGGAAAGGAAAATTACGGTAAGCGTGCCTTCTTCCCATACTGCATTCTGGTGCCATCTCTTCCCCAGATTAGTGACGCACAAGCACCCAGCCAGCCACAGGATGTAAAACAAAACATGATCCATCAGACCAGACCACCTTCTTCCATTGCTCCATGGTCCTGTTCCGATACTCACGTGCCCACTGAAGGCACCATTGGCTGTGGACATGAGTCAGCATGGGCGACCTGACCAGTCTGCAGCTACATGGCTCCATACACAACAAGCGGCAATGCACTATGTCCTGACACCTCTCAGAACCAATATTAACATTTTCAGCATTTTGAGCTACAGTAGCTCTTCTACTGGATCAGACTAGCCAGGCCAGCCTTGACTCCCCATGTCCATCAATGAGCCTTAGCCCCTCATGGCCCTGTCACCAGTTTTCCTTCCTTGGACCTTTTTTGGTAGGTCCTGACCACTGCAGACTGGGAATATCCCACAACAGTTTTGGAGTAGTTTCTGACACAGTCTAATCCAGTGCTTCTTGTCCTTATTTCAGGAAGAACCACCTTTAAAATTCTGCACAATCTGAAGGCACCCCAATCTAAAATGTAAATAAAATACATTTATAGTTTTACAGAATGTAGCAGCAGCAGCCACACAGCGGACACCCAGGGTTAAGTTGATTATTCCAAAGAAAACACACCCTTGTACATTTGTACTGACTAGTATTCCAATTTCTCTCTTCTCTCTCAGTTTCTCTCCCTACTATGACCCCTAGTGCTGACAGAAAGGGACAGGGTAGGGGTAGAGAAGAAGCTGAGCATTCTCCTTAGCAACCAATGACTTTATTGGTTGTTAGGACGCCAGCAGCTGAAAAGTTAGAATGATGCACAATGAAAACCTGAGGTTTTGTGTAACTAAAATGGTAGGCTTGATCTACCACTAGCTTTTATACACTTTTAGGACAATATTTTTTAGACATTTTGTCAAGGCACTCCTGAAGAGAACTGAAGGAACTCTGGTTGAAAAAAGGCCGCTTTAGCCATTACAATTTGACGCTTGTCAAAGCTGCTCAAAATCTTACGCTCGCCTATTTTTTCTGCTTTCAACACATCAATTCAGGGACAACATGTTCACTTGCTGCCGAATATATCCCATCCACTTTCAGGTGCCATAGTAACGAGAAAATCAGCTTTATTCACTTAACCTTTCAATGGTCTAAATGTTATGGCTGATAAATATATTAGCAACAGTGGAAGAGAAGGCATGCAGATTTGAAAGTCAGAACTGTTTGTTCGCATACCTGTCCTAGGGCTGTGCCTTAGAGAGTATTCCAGCCACTAAATCATCATGACAGCCAGGGAACCAACCAACATATTTTCTCTGTACAGGTTTGCTTCACATACTGTAGATCAATAAGGTATATGCTAACTCAAGACAGGGTACTTACAAACATGCTGTTAGTGGGGACTCGATCGGAGACCACATATGGGTTTCTATAGAGCCACATCTCCTCTGGCTGAATCACTCGCTGGAAAGGGTGCATCATCTCTGTAAGCCTGTGAAAGGTGGAAAAGTAAATGTTTTTTTAACCCTGAACACCATTCATCAGTCTACTTATATATTTGTTAGATGCATTTACTTTAGAGTGATACCTTTATTGGCAAACTTAAAGTTACAGTAAAGTTTGTTATTTTTTTGTTTTTTTTTTATAGAAAACCATAACTTCCATGTATCATCTGTTTGTGCTATAAATTTTCTCTCCAGAGTTTACTTTTGAAGCTGTCCTACACCCCATTCTACAGTGGGGAAAGTAAATATTTGATCCCCTGAAGATTTTGTAAGTTTGCCCACTTACAAAGAAATGAAGGATGTATAATATTTAGCAAAGGTGTATTTTAAATGACAGAGACAGAATGGCAACTAAAAATCTACAAAAAAACGCATGACACAAATGTTATAAATGGAGTTGCAGTTCAGTGAGTAAAAAAGTATTTGATCCCCTACCAACCAACAAGTCTGGCTCCCATAGACTAGCTATGTGCTCATGTGGTACACGAATTAGTCCTGTCAATTTAAGGAGGTGCTAACGAAACTTGTTATGTGTATAAAAGACACCTGTCCACAGAATTTTTTTTCTTCCATTCAAACCTCACCATGATTAGCAATGAGATGTCAACAGACATCAGGGACAAGGCTGAAGACCTGCACAAGGCTGTAATGGGCTACAAGACCATCGACAAGAAGCTTGGTGTGAAGGAGACAATTGTTGGAGCGATTATTTGCAATTGAAAGAAATACAATATAACCATCAATTGCCCTCAGTCTGGAGCTCCATGCAAGATTATGCCTCATGGGGTAAGGATGATCATGAGAAAAGTGAGGGATCAGCCCAGAACTACACAGGAGGAGCTTGTAAATGATCTCAAGTCAGTTGGGACCACAGTCACCAAACAAACCATTGGTAACACAATATGCCGCCATAAATTGAAATCCTGCAGCACCTGCAAGGTCCTCCTGCTCAAGAAGGCACATGGCCTGTCTGAAGATGGCCAATAAAAATCGAAATGATTCAGAGAAGGATTTGGAGAAAGTGCTGTGGTCAGATGAAACCAAAATTGAGCTCTTAGGCATTACTTCGACTTGCCATGTTTGGAGGAAGAAAAATGCTGACTTTGACCCCAAGAACACCATCCCTACAGTCAAGCACAGAGGTTGAAATATTATGCTTTGGGGCTGTTTCTCTGCTAAAGGTACAAGCTGACTTTGCCGCATTGAGGGGCCAATGGACGGGGCCATGTTTTGTATTTGGATGAGAGTCTTCTTCCCTCAGCAAGAACACTAAAGATGGGTCATGGATGGGTCTTCCGGCATGACAATGACCCAGAACATACCACCAAGACAACAAAGGAGTGGCTCAAGGAGAAGCACATAAAAGGTCATGGAGTGGCCTAACCAGTCTCTAGACATTAATCCTATAGAAAATAAAAGGCTGAGTGGATGTCCGAGAGGCCCAGCCACAACCTTCATTCTCCTGCAGTAAACCAGGGAATTAGTTGGTCAAAGCTGTGCACCTGCCTGTCGTTTCACAAGGAAGAATGCTTTTGTAGGCAGTTGGTGTGTGATGTGGCCATGTCAGTAAAGACAGTGCAGACGGGACAGTTTCTGTTCCTATTGATTAATTGAAAGGATGTAGGGATCAGGCCCAATGTTTTCTTACCTAGAGCACTGCTCTCCACAATTCAGACACCCAACACTCTCCTACTGAAGGCATTTTGGTGTTGTTTAAAGTGGTTCTAAAAGCAACACTTTTTTTTTTTTTTTTTTTAACCCTAATGCATTCCCTGTATTAAAGTAAAAAATGTCCCAATAGTTGTATTGCCCCCTCACCCCACTTTTACTTACCCAAGACCTATCTTGCTCCAGTACTGTTCCCAGCCTAAATACAAGAGAACCAGTTCCATTAGCAGCCATACATGCCCACGCCATGACACTACCACCACCATGCTTCACTGATGAGGTGGTGTGCTTTAGGATCATGAGCAGTTCCTTTCCTTCTCCATACTCTTCTCTTCCCATCACTCTGGTACAAGTTAATCTTGGTCTCATCTGTCCATAGGATGTTGTCCCAGAACTGTGAAGGCTTTTTTAGATGTCGTTTGGCAAACTCTAATCTGGCCTTCCTGTTTTTGAGGCTCACCAATGGTTTACATTTTGTGGTGAACCCTCTGTATTCACTCTGGTGAAGTCTTCTCTTGATTGGTGACTTTGACACACATACACCTACCTCCTGGAGAGTGTTCTTGATCTGGCCAACTGTTGTGAAGGGTGTTTTCTTCACCAGGGAAAGAATTCTTCGGTCATCCACCACAGTTGTTTCCGTGGTCTTCCGGGTCTTTTGGTGTTGCTGAGCTCACTGGTGCGTTCCTTCTTTTTAAGAATGTTCCAAACAGTTGTTTTGGCCACGCCTAATGTTTTTGCCATCTCTCTAATGGGTTTGTTTTGTTTTTTCAGCCTAATGATGGTTAGCTTCACTGATAGTGACAGCTCTTTGGATCTCATCTTGAGAGTTGACAGCAACAGATTCCAAATGCAAATAGCACACTTGAAATGAACTCTGGACCTTTAATCTGCTCATTGTAATTGGGATAATGAGGAAATAACACACACCTGGCCATGGAACAGCTGAGAAGCCAATTGTCCCATTACTTTGGTCCCTTAACAAGTGGGAGGCACATATGCAAACTGTTGTAATTCCTACACCATTCACCTGATTTGGATGTAAATACCCTCAAATTAAAGCTGACAGTCTGCAGTTAAAGCACATCTTGTTCGTTTCATTTCAAATCCATTGTGGTGGTGTATAGAGCCAAAAATGTTAGAATTGTGTCGATGTCCCAATATTTATGGACCTGACTGTATAAGCAGCTGCTATGGCCAGCACTAAGGGCTCTTTCAATCAGGCAGGAGAGGGGCGACTGCCTACCTAAACAGTAACAATACAGCTGGTCAGGTCTGTCAAAAGGATGTGGTCACGATGCTTTGATTCGTGGCATTTCAACTCACTCACTGAGTTTAAAGGGGCCGTGCCCATTGCATGTGATTGCAGTGCAGTAGTGCACCATTACAGGGTTAAAGTAGAACTAGACTCCAGTTCAATCCAACGATGTGCCATCCTGGAACTCCCTGCCAGCTGCTGACATCTGCAGCTAGATCGCCGGCTGCTGTCATTGGCTGGGCCTAGATGATGTCACACTCCCACGCATGTACGGAAGTTCCATCAGCTTCAGAATTGCCAAATTTGTGCAGTGAGCTGTGAGTGCGCAGTGCACTGTACAGGGGCAGCCAGGCAGGTAAGTAGCTTTAAAGAGGTAGTAAAGTCAGCTTTTTTACTTGTACCTACAGGTACGTCTATAATAAGACTTACCTGTATGTACTGTAAATAGCTGCTAAACATGCAATTTACATTATGACATTGCCTTGCAGGGAAATTTTTTTTTTTTTTTTGGAGTGATCAGGTTTACTACCACTTTAATGCAGAAGAGACAAAGCATTTATCTTTTGTATTAAAAATCCTGCCTATTCGCCCATTTTTGCTTCTCATTTAAAGTGTTACTAAATCCACAACAGTAAAATCAGTCTGTATATGCAGTAAAGCGTACGTGTTCTACTCACTGTGGAACCTGAGGGGTTAATCCTCTGCATTGTGTAAAAAGGCCATTTGATCCTTTCTTCTCTGCCCTTCCTCTTGTAGAAATGACCACCTGATACAGACTGAACCCTTGGTCACATGTACATGCTCAGTTTGGTGTGTATTGCTAGAGAGGTTTTGTTTTTTTCTTGGGAGGGTACATGTGATCAGCACAGGGCCAATCATCACTGTCCACACAGAGGGTCAGGGGTTTCACATCCTCCTAGAGCAGAAAGAAAACTCCTCCTACAAGCTTTAACCAGTGCTCTGCTGAAGTCACAAGACTGCTTTAACTGCTGATGAGAAAAGGTATTTAGCAGTTTATATTTACTGAAATAATTGCATTTCCATGTTGTGTGTACTGTGGGAGAGCAGATATAGTGAATGCGGGGTCCGGGGAGACCAGATATAGTGAATGCGGGGTCCGGGGAGACCACATATAGTGAATGCAGGGTCCCGGGAGACCACATATAGTGAATGCAGGGTCCCGGGAGACCACATATAGTGAATGCAGGGTCCCGGGAGACCACATATAGTGAATGCAGGGTCCCGGGAGACCAGATATAGTGAATGCAGGGTCCAGGGAGACCAGATATAGTGAATGCAGGGTCCAGGGAGACCAGATATAGTGAATGCAGGGTCCAGGGAGACCAGATATAGTGAATGCAGGGTCCAGGGAGACCAGATATAGTGAATGCAGGGTCCAGGGAGACCAGATATAGTGAATGCAGGGTCCAGGGAGACCAGATATAGTGAATGCAGGGTCCAGGGAGACCAGATATAGTGAATGCAGGGTCCTGGGAGACCAGATATAGTGAATGCATGGTCCTGGGAGACCAGATATAGTGAATGCATGGTCCTGGGAGACCAGATATAGTGAATGCAGGGTCCTGGGCTTAGTATCACTTTAACATTTCAATTGAAATCAGGTGGTAAGGAGGTTATTGTCCGCCTCCTTACTGCCTGTCAAATGCCCTCTATATAGCGACCCCAAATGCAGATTGCTCTACAGAGGGCATCGCAGAGCACAGCAAATGTGAAGAGCCTTAAAAGGGGTCCTGTTACTTTGCTAATAGTATTGATTAACTTTCTACAATTTTAATCCTTTATCCATATACAGGCTATTAAGGGAAATCATTTACCTGGGGTGTAGCATTTTCAGTATTCAAGGGTCTTTTGTTAAACAAAAGTATTTTTCCTTCTATGTAACTATATAACTAGGAATGCACCGAAATTTCAGTGGCCGAAACGTTTCGGCCGAAAACACCCCTTTCGGCTGAAAAAAAAAAAAAAAAAAAAAAAAAAAAAAAAAAAAAAAAAAAAAGCAGTGAAAGTGCTGAAAAAACCCCGCCCCTCAT